AAGAATAGTATGGTGGTGGAATATCAATTTTTGTTGTCAAGTTTTTTCTAAATGCTTTGACTGAAAAGGCTTCTCTCGTATCTTTTTTTAATAAATTCCATTGTTTTGTAGCGTCAGGTACGAATGAGTTTCTAATAGTTCTAATCTACACTTAGGAACAATAAAATCTTGTTTGTTACGGGTATTATATGTGGATACATGTTCACGTTTATTGGGAACAATATCTTTCAAATATTCTGGTGCTCGTCCCGTATGAATTTTGTACAAAGTAGTCATTTTAGCAATATATCGTCTGTTTTTTAAAGTTTCCCACCCAGTTTCAGAATAAAGTGCATCTCTAGACACAAATATAGGAAGTCCGGTTACGATTCTAGCGGCGGTTAATTGTACTTTTTCAAGTTTTTTTGCATCATATTTCGAGCAGCCATCCCAAACGATCGAAGCATATTGAAGCATAGGTCTGATGAATGTAATATACAATTATGCTAAGTTTTTTCTACCCATTTTGAACTTTAACTTCTTTAGAAGGCCTAGTTTTTAATTGGCACTATTTACAACTCCATCAATATATACAGACCAACTAAGATTTTGCGACAATAGCAAACCCAAATGGCGATGGACTGGAACACATTCAAGTCTATCGCCTTTGAAAAATAACTTTGGCATATCAGAAATATTTTTCTTGTTGAAATAAACTACCTTAGTTTTAGATGGATTGAATTTGAGTAGCCACTTATTTGACCAAATTTCCAATATGTGTAAATCATGATTCAATTTGTATTCTATATCTAATACATTGTATGATGATTGTTGAAGGGAATTATCATCTGCAAACAGTCTACACATTGAAATCATATTTTCAGCAACATCATTTATATAAATAAGAAATAACAGTGGACCTAAGACAGAACCCTGAGGTACACCTGCAAAAATATCTTGTTTTGATGATAACAAGTCTTTGTACATAACTTTTTGAGACCTTTGACTTAGATAACTAGAAAACCATTGGAGAATATCACCAGATATACCATAAGTTTGCAATTTAAATAAAAGCCCTTTGTGCCAAACTCTATCAAAAGCCTTTGAGAGATCACAAAAAAACATACAACATGATTTGCCTTCATCTATGCTTTGAACAATACTATGGTATGTTTCTAGTAATTGATAAACAGTTGAATGACCAGGTAGAAATCCTGCTTGGTATCGATAAAATAAATCATTGATATGGAAATAATTGTACACGTGTTTAAAAATAATTCTCTCCATAATTTTGCTTACACAGGATAGTAACGATACAGGTCTGTAGTTGGACACCACAGAGGGGTCATCCTTTTTGAAAAGAGGAATCACATGGGCTAATTTCCAAAAAGATGGGAAAACTTTTTCTGATAACGACCTATTAAATAACATAGTTAGTGGTTTAATAACAGTAGAAATAGTAGATTTTAACATTTTATGGCTAATACAATCTGGGCCAATAGCTTTATTCACGGGAAGTATTGAAATTATGTCTAATACTTCCTGTTCGTCGATTTTGATGTTGCATAGTGTGTCATTACAAGTATAATACATTTGTGGTAGTATTTCATTAGAATCATCAATAGATGAAATCGAAGAAAAAAACGAATTCAATGCTTCAATCTTGTCTTTGTCAGAATAAGCTACCTGTCTTAAACCGTTATCATTCAATATTTGTATCGGTGGTATTTCGTTAGAAAGTTTTACATTAAATGACTCTTTCATTAACTTCCAATATAACTTATTGTTATTTTTACTAGAATCTTCCAAGTAGGTTTCTATACTCAACAAAAAAAGAAACGCATATTGTTTTACTCGTCAAAGAAATTTTTAGAATGTACATGAAACAACTATTTTTATATCATTGGATACCTGGGACCTATTTAAAGGACAACATGGGGTTTTAAAACCCAAGTGTTGAATTATCTCCCTTGATTTAACATGTTTATGAAAGTAGTGTTTTTCATGATTTCTCCTAAATCAGATGTCTATTTTCATTGATATTTTGGAATTAGAGAAACCTTTAACACTTCTATTAAACCCATATTTAAAATTTGATTGCAGTGTTGATACTGCAGTGCCACGCCCAAACAAAGATGAATACCACCAGGCTAACGATCATACTAAATGGAGCTACGCAGCAGGAAGTTGCAACTGTATTTGATAGATATAAATGGGCTTTGCAAGCTTAAAACTAACGTCTGAAGACCACAATCTGGCCATCCGCAGGTAACCACAACCAGGCAAGACCGTCAGACCCCCCCCCCCCCCCTTCATCACCTAATGCGAATCAGAACTTGCTGTAAAAACTGCTGCTACAATTGCTGGATGAAAAAATCAGCATAAAAATGCATAAATTGTTCGCATGAGACTAAAATGAGAAGATATTCTCCCGCGATATCCGTACACTGGAAACCCACTAGCATTGAGATTTTGCACAGTACATATTGTTATGCCCCTTGAATTTGGGGGCAATGAAAATGATTCAACTTGACTTTTCAATTTGCAACATTGATTTTTATCACAACACACTCTAAAATCGCTTTAATAATACAAGGTTAAAAATGAAAACTTAGAATTTCATATCATTCTGATTATGCGTTTCTTTTTTTGTTCAGTATATATTATCGTAGTAGTTTGAAATAGCGTGTTTTTTCATATTGTTGACTGAATTACGAACTTTTCTATAAGCAGCCTTATCGGATTCTTTTTTAGTTTTATTAGCTTTCTTATGAAGACGGTTTCTTTTTCTTATTGTTTTACGTAACATTGAATCCATCCATGGTTTGTCACGAGGGCGAATGGTTATAGTTTGTTCAGGTATGCATTCATGAACACAGGAAAGAAATTCCGAAGTATAATTATCTACAGCAATGTCTACAGATTTAGCTTCGTTTATGCTTTTTGTCCAATCGCAATTTTCGATGAGAGAGTCTAGTTTCACGAAATCGGCATTTTTATAAACCCATACTTTTCGCTTATATGAACGATTATAATTTATACTAGAAGGGAGCGAGATATAAGTTGCTCTATGGTCACTGGCCGAGGCGTCTATTGTTAGTGTACCCGATTCGCATACTTGAATATCGGCAGATGAAAGAATTGGGTCAAGAAGCGTGCTGGACGTGTGTGATATTCTAGTTGGTTCATGGATATTGTTTACAAGACTGTGTGTTGAAATTATTTCGCGAATTATATGTGTTTGTGGAGCATTAAGGAGATCTCAATTCAGATCACCTACTATTATTATTTTATCCGAGACTTCGCCTACTCTGTCAATGCACCATGTGAGTTTTGTCCAAAAACTACTATCCGAGTTAGGAGGACGGTATATACAGCATAAAAAGTATTTGCAGGTATTGTTATCTATTTCAATCCATATACATTCAGTGTCAGAGGGTTCAAATTCCTGGCGTCTAAATGCTCGTATTTGATTTGACAAATATATCATTACACCGCCCCCGAAACAATTTCTGTCTTTTCTCAATATTATGCTAAACCCGTCCAAATGTAAGTCATCATTATTAACTGAATGATCCAAATGAGTTTCCGTAAAACATATTTTATCAAAGTCATGAACAAAAGAATTTAGATAGTTTAGTTTGTGTCTAATGCTTCGAATATTCAAGTGTAGAATGTTAAGGACACTTTCCATAGCAGGACCTGGATTGACCTCAATATCCCCGCAAATCAACAAAATAAAAGTAAAAAACTGTAGATAAAAATTAATATACACCGATTTCTGAAAAATGGCTGCCATGCCGCAAGCGAGAGCTTTGGGTGTACTTTTGAATAACTGAAATATAAACACACCTGGAAAAACCAAATATGAATATGTTTTACATGTGCCTCTACTTGATAAATAAAATAGACCGATTGCAGCTCGGTATTGAAGATGAAATCCATTTCCTTACAAATTGTTCTTTATATAATGAAGAAAGGAAAGTTTTATTTAACTTTTTAAGTGACAATTATAAAAATTTCAACACTCTGTCCAACAATCAAAAATTTTTATGGATTATGGCAAATGAAGATCACAGTATATTATTTAAACTATGTGACTTTTTATCCAAATCTTTTATGAAGAGAAAAAATCTCATTAAAAAATGATAAAAGTAAAAATGTTAGGATATACATATATAATTATTCAATTCATGTGTACTTCAGTCTCTACTACTAATGTACTTTGCATTTTTTATTTTTTTTTATCTATCTGTCTTATAAACATCATAAACTCAAAAATGCATGTACATTAATTAATTGCCATTAGGCCTAAATACTAATGCCTCATACCACAATATGATATATATGTATACATTGAAAAGTCATATGTCTATTTTATGTACATGTTTTATAGGTTAATCATGTATGTCTAAATGTTTTGTTTTGTTTCTTTTTTTCTGTCAACTATATATTAGGCCTTTCTCTTGTAAGTTTGTACTCTTTATGCTCATTTGGGCACTGAATTAGTAATAAAACTTATCTTATCTTATCTTATAGGAGGTTCATCTGCGTAAAGATTCCGGCTGACCAATACACAGATCTTATCAATGCATTTGTGTAAAGCTAGGATTATATTCCATCTTAGAATTAACATTGTTTTACTTACTTAATGTCTAACAAAATTAATTATACTTTTAAATTATTACCTAAGAATTATATGACTGTATAACATTACCCCCTTCTTAAGACTTATTTAGTCCCTAAATTAACTACAACCTACTAAATAGGGGCGTGAATGAACAGAAAGTTAAAATTCAAACATATTTACAAACATTTGTGAGCTCTCTTGTTTATATTATCTTAAGCTAAATCCAAATATTAATACTTAGAGACTCATTTCAAAAGATCAAAATTTAGCATGTCTCCAAAGCGTTAAAAAAAGCAAATAAAAGAAGTCACATTTCAAGAATAGTACAATCATTCCTGATAACAGTTGTCACAAATGTCACAATTTTTTTTATAGGTAAACTACTTCAAGTTTATTTTTCACACAGTTCCTTCTTACACTGGCACACACTTAGTTTCCTTTCAATAATTTTTAACAGTGCTTCAAGTTTGTAAAGTTGACCTCTCTCGTCTGGTAAGGTGGATGGGTGTACGTCTCCATTTCTTAGGTAATTCAGAATAATGGGGAAGAACTTTGGATCTCTGTCTATGAAATACGTTGGCGTTGAAGTTGATAAGGGCAAGGGTTTGACGGTCTCAATTTCTGCAAAGATACTCCCCTCTGCACTTTTTAGGGTGTATCTGCTCACTTTAAATCCGTTACCACCAACATCTAAAATCAAGTGATCTTGCATCTTCTTAAGATCAATATCAGACTCCTATTTTTGTTTTCTTGGAGGAAATTTCAAAAGTGTCAAACTCAATCTCCTCTTCTGGTGATAGAAGGGAAATTGCATCTTCATTAGGACTTCTTTTTCTTTCTCTTTCCCTTTGGTTGCTTGGGGGTTGGTCTCGGTAACTTAATTTGCAATAATCCTTAAACATTTCTCCCTCTGATTTACTCCTGTAGTGTAAACATAAACTTCTGACATCTTGGTCGCATGGAGAAAAGTCCTCATTCTTCTTCCTTAATTTCTTCCTTAATTTCCGCCGAAATATGGCTGAAATATTGCTGACTCGGCGTTAAACAATACAAAATCAATCAATCTTCCTTAATTTTCTTTTGCAAGACGTACACTGCCACGAGAACCCTGAATGCTGCTCTATGATGTGTCGATTGATAGAATATTTAGATTCTGACTGCAGGTCACATATCTTGCAAAAATATGTGTTGATCTGTAAAATAGAAATAGATAAAAAATAATAATAGTCCAATTATCATAAATACTTTATATCATTTCAAAATCTCTAAATCTTTTTGGTAATTTTCTTTGTCTTTTACTGTCAAAGAGTGTTTCTTTTAATTGGTCATTTATAAGATTTTTGAAACTTGAATTTGATTTTTTTAGCTGTTTGCAATTCATTAATATTTTCAACCCCCCCCCCCCCCATTATCTTTAGTTTCACATTCTTGAAAATTCGAAATATCTGGATTTTCACAAATTCTTTCAACATGTTCAAACAAAACAACTCCATCTGTAATTTTGTAATTTATTCTTCTGCATGTTTTTCCTTCACATTTAACTTGGGTTGATTTTCCCCAACATATGGCTTTATCTGTTTGAATGAATAACTTTTGGCTTCGACTTTGGTGTTTCTTGAATTCTGTACAAAACAATGAAAACATCATTCAATCGGTGTGTCACTAGAAATGGGCCTTGCCATGGTCTTTTTAGTTTTAGTGAAACTCCTTTCTTTCTTGCCACATTATGCAACCACACTGCGTTTACCTTTTCATACTTCTTAAAATTCATCCTATTGTCATAATATTCTTTCATTTTACTAGCAGCAATCTGTAAGTTCTTTCGTGCATATTCATGAATTTCCCCTAACGTTTCTCCTAATTCAAATGCATAGTCAGAATTGTACACACGTTCTTTTTCTTCTGGCAGTCTTTCCAAATAAAGATCAACTGGGAGGGCAATTTCTCTGCCTAACATCATACAGCAGGGTGTCACTCCTGTTGATGCGTGAACTGATGATCTGTAAGCCATCATAATCAAAGGTACATATTTTCAATTGTCTGATTAGCTCTCTCAACCATGCCATCTGACTGTGGTCTGTAAGGGCTTGTGAGAGTCTTCTGAACTTCTAGAAGTTTACACATATCTTTAAAAACATTTGATTCAAAGATACTTCCTTGATCTGAATTATCACGAGATTCTTCAACCTTGGTTCTCTGTTTAAGGTATAAGGAACTTACACTGGTCAGATTCGATAGTTTGGATAACTTTGATCGCTTAGATTTTACACTTCGCTTGTCTTTGTATTTTTTCTACTTTCCTTTCATAAGTCTGTTCAGCCTTTTCTGCAAGTGCTTGCTGCTGTTCTATTTCCGTTGAAGGTTTACCATCTGCCATTCTGATTAAGCTTGGCGCCTAGATTTTGTACTGTGCAATTTTTATTGCGATCCAAGACCCCCGGAGAGGGTAAAAAACTGTAAACAATATAAGAAAACAGATTGAACAATATCAACCAAAATGATGTACATGACAAATTCGATTATAATCAACAAATTTTCAAATATAGTACTTTTAAGAATTTACAGTATATTTATAGCAAAACATGACCTAAATTCTATGAAATAATTTCCAGGTTTGTTTACATAATGTTCGAGCAAAAGAATTTCTAATATAAAGTTTTAAACAGTAAAAAATTACAATATTTATAATAACAGAGGTATTTCATATAGATACACTTACTCTGTGCAGGGCCAAAACTCCTAAATTCTATAACAAGTTGAGGTACATGATTTACAGCAGCATGCTTCTAACGTTTTCTTAACGATCTTCAAACTTCCGGTTATATTAAATTAAAGCAAACAAAGCGGAATGAAAATGAAAATTTCCAGAATGTGCGTCACCACACTTACCTTTTACAAGGTAAGTTCTTCAGTCTTTCTAAAGAAGGATTTGGAGATAACAATCAGTATTCAACCTTAATTTGACTCAATGATAAATATTTTTGCTGACGAGGTCATTGTATCGACAATAAAAGTTACAAAATGATGACTTTAAACGACACTGCTGATATTCTTGTTTCATCAACTTGATGCAGTACTTCTTCACCATCATCAATACGATGTGCGGGGAACACTTTACGACCACACTTTTCTTAAGTTTGGGAGTCCCAAAACGCCTATATCCCTTTAACAATCTGATCTTTGGTCTTGGACTTTGTCTTCGTTTGCAGGTAATAATTCATCGATGCTCATAGTGAGATCTGGTAATGAGGCAAGCATCTCCTCAACGTTTTACATGTAATACCGCATGGTCTTCCATCCAATTCTTCGTTGATTTTAAGTTCTTGCTCTCATTGTCCTTCAGTTGTACAAAAAGGAAAACCAGAAAAAAGATTAAAAAGGGGCACCGCCAAACGGAGCATCCCCTCGTGACAGCAACTTCACTGGAAATGGCAAAATCTCATCGAAGATAAATTCTATCGAGGGACTTTAAACATGTTAAAGATCGATAGTACAATGTGTTTTGTTCAATATCCATCTCCGGAATATTTTGCTCATATGAAAGCTTTTCAGCGGAGAGCTGCACATTCTTTGCTATTATGGAAACCGACGACTATTGAGCAGTGAGGGATCTCTTTGTGCCAGGATCTATTGGGACATGGTCCCTTGGTTTACACGGTCTTATTCGAAGGACCAATCCCCACATCCTGCAAAGCTTGGGATTCAAACCCACAACATTAGGATCAACTCCCTTACTTTTGACAACATTTTAAAGTGGGTTGTTAATTATCCTTTTTGGTAAATGATCTTATCTTTCTTTTTTTATACGCCCGTCTTAAAGCTGAACACTTCTCATAAATAGGCACTGTCAGACGGGTATATAAACCGTTTGCTTTCGTTACACCCGATTGCCCTTTTGAAACTCGTGGCCGACATGTAGTACTCCTATCGTGATCTTAGATTTTTTACGTTTATTTCTTGTTTTTATGTGCATTTTCTGTTCGTAAATAATGTATTGACCTGCATTTTCCATGATACTTTTGTCTTGTTTCGGGAGAAATGTGTAAAAAATTGTTTCGGGAAAAGTGTAAAATTTAATAAATTCATCGATATTGAGTAGCACGCTTTGTTAGATGTACGTCTACATTCAAAAGGATCTCTACAGTGAAATACATTGAACTGACTAGCGATCTGCTCCTTATATAGGAGTTGTAGGGAGAGCGTTGAAGAACGTCAACCTTGCCCACAAAATGTAGCGAACACACTAACACACATATACGCACATTCGCGATGCATTATCCCCTCCGCAACTAATTGGGCGAGGGGATAATAATTTATGCAGTTGTTCAAATTTGATTTTAGGTTAATTCAAAATACGATTTAAAAAAAAAGAAAGAACCAATCTGGCGTTTCAACAGAAGATTTAGCAGTCCTTCTCTGCAGTTACATTCAGCTATGCAGTGATGACCCCCCCCCCCCCCACAAAGCCACTTGGATGCACTAGTCGTCTCAGGGAATATATGACTTTTATCTATCCAGAATTTGAAAATAATTAGGTCTTTCCACCTTTCTGTGGAAATACCTCTTGAAATGCTTCTGTTTATTATTATTTTTTTTAATTATATTTCCGCTACGGACTTCTGAACCGAAAGACTTATCGAAAAACGTTTTAGTTTATTCTACTAGAAATAAAAAGTTATTTCGAAAAACAACCCAACGTATATGACCTATGACCCCTTACGGAGTTCTTGCCCCTTTTATGTAATATCTTTTTATCGCTACTCCTTTGAAACCGTAAACCATAGAAATATGAAACCTTCACTAAAGTCTTCGACACATTGAGAGGACTCTGGGATCTATTCATCGTATTCCGTAAGATTGACCCAATTAAAAGTTATCGCCCTTTGTGCAAAAAACCTTGTTATCGCTACTACTTCAAATCCGTAAACTGAAGAAATATGAAACCTTCACTAAAGTCTTCGACTAATTGAGAGGACTCTGGAATTTATTCATTGTGAAAGTCTTCGGTGATCCCTTCAATGAGTTATTGCCCCTGAAAGTCTTTGAATTTTACAAATAATTAAAAAATTCCAAAACGAGAAGTGATAGAGACATGGGAACAACTGCATAAGATTCATTGACCTTTGATCATGAAATTATTGCAAAGGTCAAGGTCATTCCAAAATTGAGAAATTAAGCTATTTTTATATCTCTTGTCTTTCAACATATGCTTAATCTCTATGCATCATTAAAATGTACTCTTAAAACTGTTTCAAAGATTTCATTCTTGTCCCTTAAGATTGACCCTATTAAAAGTTATTGCCCCTTGTGCAAAAAACATTTTATTTGCTATTGCTCCAAAACCGTAAACCGAAAAGACATGAAAACTTATCTAATGTTTGATGGGATTGTAGGCAAAACTTTTATATTCAAGCGCAATAGGATATGATGACTCCTTTCATGAGTTACTGCCCTTTAATGCTTTTGTGCTTACTATTAAACCTTATAACTTTAAAAGTATAAGACATAGAGACATGAGGTTATTTACAATGTGACCCTTGACCTTTGACCTTGTATATGATTTTGAAGGTCAAAGGTCAAGGTCACCTGAAAAATATTAGATTTTCATTTTTTTTCTTCTTTTATGCCATTCCTGGTTTTTTTTCTGCAATTAAATCTTAAAGAGATAAATTATAAATGAAATTGAAATTCAAAAGGTGGAAAGACCTCTTA